TCTGGGAACAGCCTATTGGTTCAGCAATTTCTTTCTGTGTCTTACCCTCTTGCTTGAGGGTGTCAATGATGGCCTTCTGGACAGCAGTCAGGTCGGCAGTCTTACCCATGATTGTGGTTTTGAGTAATGAACAAGGCTGGGAGTTTTTAAAAGCCTCAGGAATCTTTTGCAGGTGTTTAGAGTTACGTCGTTGATTCAGATGGTTAGGTTAATAGCTTGTTTAGAGAACCTTTTCAGGATATGCTAATTTTTTGGGACAGGCATTTTGGGTTTTCATGAGCTGTATGCCATAATCATCAGTATTAAAACAATTAAAGACCTGAAATATTTCAGTTGGTGTGCAATGAATCTGAAATATATGAAAGTTTCATTTTTATCATTACATTATGGAAAATAATGACCTTTATCACAATATGCTATTTTTTTGAGAAGGACCTGTATTTGTGCTGCTCATTAGGTTGCTTGGACATCAACTCGTCAGTGAAGGGAGCTCGTTTTGTTCGCTTCTGTGATGCCTTCAACATCCCCATCATCACTTTTGTAGATGTCCCTGGCTTCCTTCCAGGTATTCATCGAAAACATTATTTAAACGGAATAAACTTGTTTGTCCAGCTTTTCACTGCAGTAAGATGAAAGCCGAAATCTTTTGTTCAAATGTAACCAAGTAACCTTTAGCTACATGTAACGTTCTCACCAGGTACTGCTCAGGAGTACGGAGGCATCATCAGACATGGAGCCAAACTGCTGTTCGCTTTTGCAGAGGCCACTGTACCAAAAATAACCATTATCACCAGAAAGGTGTGTGTGAATATCATGAGTGGAGGCACATAGAGATAATGGATATCTCTCATCCCTCAAGGAATCCTGATGCATGCTCAATAATCCAGGTAGAAAAATCTAAAAAAGTTAAGTCTGGTCCTCTGGACGTTCAAAAAACAAAACAAAGCAGAATGTCCAGAGGACCAGACTTAAGTTTTTTAGGTCCCTCAAGGAGTGGAGCTTTTCAACAGTCCTGGTGTTTGATGGATCTTTTTGTTTCATATGTCATATGTTGGTGGGGGGTCTGGACTGCAGGCAGGTCAGTTCAGCACCTGGAACCTTTAACTAAAACACCACCATGTTGGAGTGGGCGTAGTGAGGAAGTGTTCCTGAACTCTTCCAGAACAGAATCACATCTGGGTTGCTGCCATCAAATTCAAAATGTCTTTAATTTTTCTTAAAAATATGTATGTTTAACTTTAAACATTTGATATATTTCTGTGTTCGGTTGTTTCTAACATTTGCAAATCATCACATTCCAACTTATTTTAGTAAATGGTTGGAAGTGTTGAAAGTGACAATAACCTCAAACTAAAACAAAAAGCCTTCATACATTATTTCCTCCTGTGTAGCAGCCGCAAAATGTTGAGTTTGCTTTAAAATCTAACAATGTTACCTTTAATGATGCAACATGCAGCTGTAACTTTGTTTTTGTTTTTTTATTCATTCCAGGCTTATGGAGGAGCTTATGATGTCATGAGCTCCAAACACTTGAGAGGTGACGTGAACTACGCCTGGCCTACAGCGGAAGTTGCTGTCATGGGTGCCAAGGTATAAACACTCATCTGGACTCTCCCTTTATGCCTTTCCTTTAAATTAACTATATCCACCTTATTCCTAGCCCCCATGCTGCCTTGTGTGAATTATAGGCATGACTTCTGGCGTGGACCACAATCGGAGTTTATGTATGAACAGTACAAGTTAATTTAGTTTATCTTTTGTAGTTTGTGGATTTAATTTAAACATATAGGAACACCTCATGTCAGAGCTCAAACAGGACAATGTAATTAATTATACCACTGTCTGATGAGGACGAGGGATGGAGGACCTGAAGATGTCGCTGCAGATTACATTATATCTTCTACCAAATTTAGCTACATCTTCGACAAACCGGATTCCCAAAAAGTTGGGACACTAAACAAATTGTGAATAAAAACTGAATGCAATGATGTGGAGATGGCAAATGTCAGTATTTTATTCGTAATATAACATAGATGACAGATCAAAAGTTTAATTTGAGTCAATGTAACATTTTAAAGGAAAAATATGTTGATTCAAAATTTCACAGTGTCAACAAATCCCAAAAAAGTTGGGACAAGTAGCAATAAGTGGCTGGCAAAAGGAAATTGAGCATATAACGAACAGCTGGAAAACCAATTAACACTAATTAGGTCAATTGACAACATGATTGGGTATAAAAAGAGCTTCTCAGAGTGTCAGTGTCTCTCAGAAGCCAAGATGGTAAGAGGATCACCAATTCCACCATTGTTGCGCAGAAAGATAGTGCAGCAATACCAGAAGGGTGTTACCCAGCGTAAAATAGCAAAGAATTTTAAGTTATCATCATCAACCGTGCATAACATCATCAAAAGATTCAGAGAATCTGGAACAATCGCTGTGCGTAAGGGTCAAGGCCGTAAAACTCTACTGGATGCTCGTGATCTCCGGGCCCTTAAACGTCACTGCACCTCAAACAGGAATGCCACTGTCAAGGAAATAACAGAATGGGCTCAGGAATACTTCCAGAAAGTATTGTCAGTGAACACAATCCACCGTGCCATCCGCCGTTGCCAGCTGAAACTCTACAGTGCAAAGAGGAAGCCATTTCTAAGCAAGCTCCACAAGCTCAGACATTTGCACCGGGCCAGGGGTCATTTAAAATGGAGTGTGGCAAAATGGAAGACTGTTCAGTGGTCAGATGAGTCATGATTTGAAGTTCTTTATGGAACACTGGGACGCCATGTCATCCGGACCAGAGAAGACAAGGATAGCCCAAGTTGTTATCAACGCTCCGTTCAGAAGCCTGCATCACTGATGGTATGGGGTTGCATGAGCGCTTGTGGCATGGGCAGCTTGCATGTCTGGAAAGGCACCATTAATGCAGAGAACTATGTTCAGGTTCTAGAACAACATTTGCTCCCATCTAGACGTCATCTCTTTCAGGGAAGACCCTGCATTTTTCAACACGATAATGCCAGACCACATTCTGCAGCAATCACAACATCATGGCTACGTAGGAGAAGGATCCGGGTACTGAAATGGCCAGCCTGCAGTCCAGATCTTTCACCTATAGAGAACATTTGGCGCATCATAAAGAGGAAGGTGCGACAAAGAAGGCCCAAGACGATTGAACAGTTAGAGGCCTGTATTAGACATGAATGGGAGAGCATTCCTATTTCTAAACTGGAGAAACTGGTCTCCTCTGTCCCCAGACGTCTGTTGAGTGTTGTAAGAAGAAGGGGGGATGCCACACAGTGGGAAAAATGGACTTGTCACAACTTTTTTGGGATTTGTTGACGCCATGAAATTTAGAAACAACAGATTTTTCCCTTAAAATGAAATATTCTCTCAGTTTAAACTTTTGATCTGTGATTTGTGTTCTATTCTGAATAAAATATTAGATGTTGGCACCTCCACATCATTGCATTCAGTTTTTATTCACAATTTGTTTAGTGTCCCAACTTTTTTGGAATCTGGTTTGTATATCTACTAGCATATTTAGTTGCATGTACTAGCATATTTAGCTACTTCATTGACTCAGTTCTTCTGACAGTGACGTAATGAACAACCTGAAAAGCTCTGAGGTATATCAGTATACAGTAATAATCCAACAAAGTTCAATCTGGTCCTCTGGACATTCAAAAAAACAAAAAACAAAGCAAAAAAATCTAGAAACGTTTCGTCTCTCATCCGAGAGACTTCCTCAGTCTGAGGTGCTGTTTTCAGCTCAGTCTCTTAAATAGCACCTTCTCAGGGTGGATCAACCAGTTTGCTGCTGACAACCAAAACCAGCTGATCACATGCTCAAGAAGGACCATCAGCCTAACAATGGATCATTAGCACACTGATGGCTGTTTACTGTTCACAGAGGGCTGAGTGATACTAGCAATCACAGCATTGTAAGAGGGGGACA